ATAATATATTATTATATATATATATATATATATATATATATATATTACAAAAAAATGTTTATTGTTTTAATATATCGATATTTGTTTCTTGCTTTTGCCGATGATAGGAAGGTGATGTCGCTTCTTTACAATTATTTTTGAGTCGTTTTTTGACTTTTATTGTTATATAAGTATATTAATTGATGTTAATTATTATTTTTTTTTTTTAATGCAACTAGAAGGTGATTAGGTGGTGCTCTGTACAGCAAGTAGATTGATTCCGAGTATTGATCGGCTAAGTTTTGTTTATGATATTGCCTGGATGTGAATTTAGTTAAGATATATTGTGTACATATTGCAAGAGATATGGGAGGAGAAACGAAATGTATGGTACGTGTGTGAGTGCCAGGTTCGATATGTATCGTGCGAAGTGATGAATTTATTTCCATTGCATATAAATACGAAATGGTGACGTTGAATTATTATTATTATTATTATTATTTTTTCTTCCTTTTTTCTTTTAAATATAAAAAAACGTCTCTATTTCGGCATTTTTGGAAAAAATTCTTAACTTCTCAGTTACAAAGCTAGATTCGTCCTAGATTCGATTGCGATGTATCAAAATCGTGTAGTCGTATATATGCTCGCGTATTAAAAATATGTATATGTATATATATATAAAATCTATAATCACTCATTAAAGTATAGCCTCGGTATATAAGGTACGAAAGTACATAAATTAAATAACATCAATAGCCTTCTTCTCAGCCGCAATTGTTGCCTATTCGGTGTAATTCTTTGACTCTTTAACATACATATTTTTACTGTAAGTTTTACTGCATTTTGCAATCGATCATAAACATGCGCCTCGTGTTTTCACGATTTTTTATAATTTATCCTTAATCGTCAAAGAATAAGCATCGAGAATTTTTAGATTTTGCGAGAATCAACAGTATTCGATTTTCGCATGCGGTCTTTGATGTTGATAAAAAATTAATCGCAATACTTTTTGCTCGTTGATAGGCTGTATCACTTTATGAAAGTGAAAAGAGAAAATCATTAGATAACGATGAAAAGAAAAAAGAACGATATTCTTACGTTTATATTAATTCTTAACATTCAACTGCGTCCATTCTATGTATATTTTGTGATTTTATATCCATGAACAAGTATTGTAGATAATTAACTCCGTGACTCATTATACGTTTAATTATTATTATTATTATTATTATTATTATTATTATTATTATTATTATTATAATTATTATTATTATTATTAATATTGAAAAAATATAACTACTAAACCAATATAACGTAATAAACATTTTTTTTATAATATTAATATGCAAATCCAACATATCCGTTTATTACTGTTTTTTATATTTTTTTCAATCATTAAAAGGAAAGTGAATTAGAGGGAAAAGCAAAAAAGAAATGTATTTCTTAAAGTATATTATAACGTTTCGCGGACAATTGACTAGATCAGAAATACAGAGCAATACATTCTGATACTTGTTGTGCATATACATAGAACTACATTACAATTAGTATATAATACAATTTAATACATTTTACATATTGTTTATATAAATTAAATACAATCTTCTTCTTGTAAAATTCTTGCACGTATCTAAGCAAAAAAAAAAAAAAAAAAGTCATGAATTTTTGTATATTATAAACAGTATGCTGAATTTATATGTTTTATTTTTTTCTTTTTCTCTTCAATGCTTTTATAAAATTAAAATATCGATTTATGGCGAAGATGTTAGCATTAGATCGCCTATAAATTGGCAGTCGTACGATTTATTATACAATATGTACGTCGCAATATGTCAAGTCCACGCATAAAAAATAATAAAACATATCTTAAATATACAGGATACTTATTTGGAGTTAGTAAAAAATATAGTAGTAAATCGAATCGACAGCTCGCAATGTTATATGTACTTACATGAATCACAGCATTGCGTGGGCCAAATGAGCGAGCAGCAGAATAACATCTAAAAAAATCCACACGGTACAAAACGAGAGTAAAAGAAATGACAATCGATCGCTATCCACGAGATCAATAAAAAAAGTTCCAGGTACGCGGCAAATCTATCCTTAAGTACAGATTATGAAAATCATCAATTAAAGAATATACTATTTTCTGATCATTTTTGCCGCTTATCGTTACACCTGTTATCGCTCAGTCGTATGATATTTTATTACTGTACAAAATACTTGCTTTTGTTCTTAATTCGCTTAACAATCTGTTAGCGAACTTTCGAACAATTTCAGTCAATAATAATGGAAGCAAACTACGTCCAAATTGGACGATTATTCGACGATTAACTGCTTTGGCAGATTTTATTGTTTTCTTTGAGCTATAGATTCATTTCAAATAGTAAGATCTTCCCATTCTTCAACTTGTCGAGGCGTTAATTCAATTTTAATTCGGGTCAAAGTACTGAGTAAATCGTGCATCCTTGCTGTTAACGGATTGGCTTGAAGATCAATAAATTCTAACGCAGGAGCATGCCTGAGTCTTTCGATATCTATGTCTAAAAAATGGAAAGTATCCAGATTATAATATTTATGGATTATTTGAATATTTCTTATATATAAAACATAATATAAATTACATAATATAATATAAAAAATTAAGATTTACCAATGATGGAATTGTTGTTGGCAAGGAGCCGCTTAAGTTGCGGTATCCGACATGTAACGGGTGGCAAAGCAATAAAAGTATTATGCGAAATGTCCAACCTTTCTAATGCTTGTAATTCAGCAAGTTCCTCTGGTAGTTTGCTCATTTGATTATGACTCAGGTTCAATTCTAGAAACGATTACGTGTTTGAATTTGTATTACAGTGATACCTTTCAGCTAATAAATAAAAAAAAAAAGATAAAATTTTTTCAAATAATTAAAAATAAGATTATAATAAAAATGATAAAACTTATTAACAAAATAATTCAATAATAATTTGGTATTATTATTAATTTACTTACCAGTGATCAATGAAAATTTTATTGCAAATTTTGGTGGAATTTTTGTTATTACATTTCCAGATAGATTACATCTTTTTAATTCTGTATGTCTCATTAAATGATAAACTGCATCAGGTACTTGCATCAACTGGCATTCTGATAGATCTGAAAAAATAAAATATTATAACATTAATAAGTATTATATAATTATTTTGTTTAAGATATGAAAGAAAATTTATTCAAAATTTATTTGTAGTAAATTAATTGACACGTTATATACACATTTCAAAAACATATATAATTATTATATAAATGATATATTGTTAGATACATATATTTTAATCACATAGAACATAGTGATATATTCAATTTTCACAATTGGAGCACGGACGTATTGTGATCTTGACAGATCAGCTGTCGAACTGGGTCAGTGTATCAATATTTCATGATGATAACGGTAGAATTTTGTTCACTTTTCAAATATAAACCATTTTTCGGTAATCTTAAAATTGTATATCAACTTCAATTCAATTCATTAAGTAAAAACTGCACTCAAAAAACGGGAAATTTTAATAAAAGTACACAATTTTTTATAAAACCCGCGATGCACCTGTAGCAGCAAAAACTAGGTCATGAACTAGATTAAAGTATCTACAATAATAACTTAATTTAAACAGATTAGATATAAATTTTTACAAGAACCATAATTTGATTAGTTTAGTAAAATATTTTCTTAAATATATATATTTTTTGAAAAATGATTTACCAAGATTGTTAGTTTCTTGTGCATCTTCGCAGCGCAAGACTACTCTCGTGACGGCATTCGCCATCTTGCTGAGGCAAACTGACTTAAGTTGGACGTTTCGCCACCTTAATATGAAACATTTATTTTCGACAAATTTCAGAAATAAATAGTACTTGCTAGATGATTTTGGCATTCATTCTGCTTTCAGAAATTTATACTGCGACATAATGACGTAGAAATCAAAGACAATAATATTCGTAAAATACATTTAATATATTTTGATATTTCAAATAACCATATATTTTTAATGATCAATTAAATTTATCAATGTTTAATTTGAATTTTAATAAGTGTCGAAAAAATTTTAAATATATTTCAGTAATGTGAAAATAGATGCGGGATACTCGCTTGTTTGGTATTGCGCTAAAATTTTTGTCGCCATTTTTCCGGCGCCTGCGCATTTAGTTTTAACTTTGTCAAGTTTTTCTTCGATTCGAGTTCACTATATTTTTCCATTTTATATTGTTCAAAACACTTACATACGATTTAAATTGATTAATTTTATTGTTGAAAGAATTTCAAATAAAATAATCATTGATATAATACAAAATAAAATATTATATATGTATTTCTATTGTAATTTGATGGATAGGTACAGGTAGGTGCCAAACATTTGAAAATTTCGTTACCCTATCTTTTCAGTTGACAAACTTTTTTATATTTCTATATAAACTTTAATGATATATTCTTTATAATTCATATTCTTTAAACCAAAAAATTTTTAATATTATTAAGTGAGTGAAATACTCGACTATGATTTATTGTTTTTAGTGACAGTAACGATAACTTTTTACTATAAAGTAGTAAATGGCTTTGGTAGCAAGCTACCATTTAAGGTTACGTTTCCATACATGGTGGCGCCTTGCGTACCTGTATTCATGTAGCACACAATGTATATACACTCGTATTTTATCGTGTGGCTATGAAAATATACAATATTGTTCATATTTTGCACACAGAAAACAATTCTCAATATTAAGAATTTAAATATCAAATCAATAATACAATGCTTTATAAAATAAATTTATTTTAATCGCATTTTAATCCCGTAAATATTTAATACAAATTTTATAAAACACAAATTTCGTTTTATACTTTAAATAAATAATAGTAAAAGAAATTAAATCACAATAATAATATATTGTGATTTAATTTCTTATGTTCATGCATCTATATAACGAAAAATTTGAACAATGATATTTTATTTTTATTGAAAAAAAAATAATGGATGAAAATATAAAAAAGTATATATAAAATAATTATACTATTTTATTACAAAGAAATCGAATTTGAATGTATTCAAAACTAATTAAATAATTATTAAGTAACTGCTTAGTAGTTCATTAACACTTTGTCGTGGATGCATGTAAAAAAGATCAGGAAGAAGAAACGATTCTTAAGCGGTATGCAAAGCGCGAGCATTTACTTTGCTAGGACTTCGTGACGATTCACTATTCCGAGATTGACCTTTCGTGCACACGACTGCCTCCAAAACGTGCAAGAGATCTTTCCTATTGACGAACTATTGAATCACAGATTGACACATCAATATATCGCACAGCAATATCAATAATCAATATGAAAATGTGAACAATCTTAAAATAATATTTTCAAAAATGTGTATATATTATATATATTTATTTTTACATATAATAAACATACTAAATTACATGCAAATGTATATATAGCATAATAATTATGCATAAATTTAAGATAAAATTTTATATTTATCTACACTATTGTAAAAAAATTAAAAGAAATCATTAAATTTATATTTTATATAGTTTTCTATCATTTATGTTTCTATGTTTATAAAATTTTTCTTCTAGTATTCAAATAATTTGGACGATATAATTTCGATTGTATCCTTTAAGCTGTGTTCACAAAAATAAAATATGCTCACGCACGAACAATTTGCAGCATGTTCGGATCGATGAATAGCTTAAGGAACAAAGACCGGATATGAAAGTTACGCAACACAATGTTTATCCAACCAATTATCTATGCTAGAACCTGGAGTGAACATTTCACTTTTATTCGAATTGATGCACGAATCACACTACCGTGATGTGAGGAACACTACCACCTGTTACGTATGCTTGGCTAACGTGCTGCATTAACATTATATATCCTTATATTATATTTAACAAGTTGATGTTATAATTCTTACACACTATCGAAAAACGATATCATGTCAATAAAAATAAAAAAAATTTGGAGATTATTAAATTCAAAAAATTTTCAAAAAATTTATTCACGTTAAATTTAAAGGAATATAATTAAAATTAAAATTAATTGATAATTCCTCATGATACAATATTAGATTGTAATCAATCATTCGCATGGGAAAAAATATTATTAGCCTAACAAAAAATATTTCTTCTCAAAGATAGTTAACAAGTGTTATTACAGAGACATACATTCGGACGTAGAGTGACTCCTTGAATGTGGCTGCCAAGTGCCTCTCGCTCTCGTTTTCTCCGCTTCAAGACTTTCGCCAGTTACCGATTAGAAATCTTATGTTTATTTTTGACGGGTTAATAATAGTATTCTTTAATGTTGTGTTGCAGTGAAAAGGAAAAAATTACTAATAAATCAACACAAGAAAGTTCGAACAAAATAATTAACAAACAAAAGAAGAACAAAAAGTCAAGATTGATCGTTTACATAAGGAAAGATCAAGTTAAGACAAAGCTGGATGAAGCGTCATTAAGGAAGGTCTCAAATCTATCCGGATGGACGGATAAGGCAAGGACTGAGACCCGTTCTTTCTTCCAGATTGAATCAGGAAGCGAATCGCGTGATCTACTATGATACTTTGAAAGCGAGCATTGATGTAGAAGGTATCGATTGATTCTTTGAACTGTTTTAAAATTCCTCCACAACAATATCTACTAAAGTTAATTTGTCACGGTAGTCTGAAAATCTAGCTCGTCAGTCGAAACAACGAATCAAGGCCGGCCAGAAACACGTATCAAGTTGCCAACTGTATTAGTCTTCTAATCGAACACATTCTAAGGTCGTTTAATGGTACACGTCTAGTTAATTTAATTCATATTGCACGTAATTTATCTCCTCCCCTGGGGAGAAAACAATTAATTATCTCCACATGAAATAAGTCCTTTATGGTTTGTATAAACAATTATAATTTATATTGTAAACGAATACCAAAATGCTTTTATTATTTTATATTTCTATTAATGAAATTATTTTTATTTTCTGAACATAATAGGGAATTGAGAATTATCTTATCGGCGAATTGAGAGTGAATTATATCAGAAGAATAAATATATATATAAGAAACCAACCAAAGTTTAGTTGGGATACATAAGATTTGCAGTTCATTTGCATGTTTACTTATTTGAAGAAAAATTTCATGAAATCGACTAAGAAGAAGAAATACTTGTGTTTTCAAATATAAATCTAGTTTAAAAGTGATAAGGAATCAAAGGAGATGGCGAAAAATGATTAATCCGAGTTAATTTTCAGTACTAAGTTTTCACAAAAAAACATATTCAACTTTAGTATTGTTCGATATCTTATCTAAACTTTTATCATCCGTGACTAAATCTACGCAGTCCATTATACAAATTGTTTTATTTCATGAACGTTCGTTATTTTTTTTTTTTTCGATCGCATAGTAGATGCAAATCCGCAACAGAACATAAACTTTAAGGGATATATAATTGAAACATAAATATTATTCGACAAATGTTTCGACATGTTTCTTTTCCCGAATGAAATCTTCAGCCGAGCGAAAGTGTAATACCTCAAACGCGGAAAGATATCGTACTGTAGAAAGTATTAAACGCGAAGGAAACAATTACGTTTCGCTAACCGATTTTATCCAGTTTATCGATACAAATTTCGCTTGTAGAAAAGATGCATCACTTATATTACTTTTTTTTTTTTTTTTATTATCCTTTTCTCACTTTTTTTTTTATTTTTAAAAGTACACGTCATTTTTTTAAGAAAAAACTATATTACTTTCTATAAACGATCTTTCTTATTCAGTAATTTTTGTTTTACGTTCTCTCTCCCAACGAACAAATCAAAATTTTATTGCTGTTAACAAGTTTTAAACAAGATTAAAACATTAATGCAATGATAGAAAACTATGCAATAATAGATTTGACCTACCTAGATTACAATTGTCCTGTGCCTGTTCGCACCGGGAAACTACCCTAATTATCGCCCGGCCCGCCAATTGCACACAAACAGCCATAGCCACGTTCCTCTCTCCTTGTTCCTGAGAAATTTGTTCCATATCGTCTCCATTGTACGCGGGTGGTCTCATCTCTTCTGCTTTACTATGTGAAACGTGAAACGTGAAAAAATCTTGCGAAGTTTAAACGAAAGGAAATAATCTTGCTCTGAATTCTGCCTATTTGAACGATCACTGAATCTCTTCCAAGTTTTTCAATTATCGTCAAACTTTTTTTTCACAGTGGTGAAGAAGCACACAGCTTTTACAGTTCTTCAAAGTTATGAATAGCACCCTCGATTCTCTTCACTTCTTCTTCAAGACATCAAGAAACTATCATGTTTCGAGAGATTGATCGTTTCACACAAGAGAAGATTTGAAACGCACTTTTCCAACGAGGTAATTCTCCAAGCATAAATTTATATCGTTTCTAGAGTAAATCTTTAGCGTCGTCTTCGCAAATGTTATGCTTTATTAAGGAACAATGATAAAAATTTGGCTTCAAGAACATCGACGGATCGACCACGTCGTCAGACGAGATCGTTATTTTCCTCGATCTTTCACAAAACCACGAGATTTCCGCGATTTTCTGTTTTTCCGCGCTCGAGAGACTCTGAAAATATAGCGGGAAAAAGTATCGCAATGAGAGTGTTTGAGGTGACGCTGGCTGGCACTAAAGTGCACAACTCCACGCGGTGCTATTTAAGCCTTCGTCGCGGGGTCTCCCACCAAGATGCATCTCGGATCAGCTGACTACTTTGTTTCAACTCCCTCTCTTTGTTTGAAAACAACTGTAGAAACCACTACGCATATTCACCGCCAGGTGCACTCGGCCTGCAACCTGTCGAAATTGGAGTTAGAGTTTTCACGAACGCGCGACTCAAGGTTCCCCGTTAACAGAGCGCGTTGGTTTTGTTTCAGTGTCTCCTCCGTTGTCCCCTCGGCGAAGAAGGAACGAGACAGGAAAAAAGATAGATGTGCTTTAAACAGCGAGATCTTTTCGTGGATCGACTGGTGGACTTTTCCGCGTTTTACGCCTCTTAAGAGTCGAATTACGTTGAACGCGGCATTGGAAATCATTTCGGTACAGAAATAGGCAGATAAATGCAACTACTCGAAGGTCTTGTACACGCCGGAGTAAATCTGCGTGTAAGATTGACGGAAACAGGAAGGGATCGTCGCAGGGAGAAGCGTAATATTCGACGCAGAAGTTCTCGCGGAACGGGATGACTCATCTAATTGCACGTTTTATCGGGATTGAGATTCTTTTGATCGTGGCTGCACTCGAAAGGGACCTAGATTTCGTGCGTGTAAGTTTGGAAAGCGTCGGCATGATTTATTTCCTGCCGACGAGCTCGATTACGAGCTTCCAAATTCTATTTCTCTTTCGACTCTTTCGCCTTTTTTAATTAATTCCAAGTTTCTTTCATCTATAATTCATGACACGTTAGAACGTCTAGATATCGTAGGAACGGTGGCGATGCAATTTTTCATTTTAAACTTACCATACTTATCCATACGTCCGAATCCTCTTATGCAATGATATCGGGTCGGTGGGAAAGTAATGTCGGTTTCGTGAGTATAAGAAATAAATTAATTTATCATTGTACATATTCTTATATATACATTTTTCAAATTATTTGAATTTTGTGTTATATAGCTTGTTGTAGTAAATGTTTTCTTTCTTTTTTGCGTCTCTTAAGATATTTGCCAAGAATTCATTCATACTTTTATCATTCACTTTTGTAATATTATCTTGTAATTGTAATAATATTATAACTTGAAATTCAATTAAATTTGATATATTGTTTAAATTTATTCCAAAGATATAATATATCTTTTTCGGAAAGAATTGTATTTATATCTTTATCAAATTCATATAACGAATTTTTATTATAAAAATACAAATTGTCTTGTCTTATACACTATATTGGCTGTAAAAAAGTGTTTGTATATTAGTGTTTAAATATATATTCCAGCATATTAATTAATTAAAATACAAATTTATCGAATTTCATATAATTTGATAATATTTTTAATCGATAAAAAAATTTGATATTATAAGATATGTATAATATTTTTTTCTTTTAGCCAACTGCTAAATCTACATCGAATTTTAATTTCAGACGAGAAAGAGAATATTTCATAAAATAGATTTGAAGTCGTTCATCTTACCAAAATCAAAATCGATATAAAAGCGATATATAATTTTCTACACGCATAAAAAGGAAATGGAGGAAAAAAAAAAATTGTGCAGTGGATTAGAGAAATTATTATACAACCGCCTCTATGGACGATTCTTCGATTCGGTCTTCTGGATATTTTATTCGTTTTATTTTTCCTATGTATATATATATATATATATACACATATATATTTGATCATGTCGTTACATAAATGTGCAATTAGTGGCGCAGCTCGTGCGAACGAGGAAGCGAACGAGACTAATAAAAAATAATAGTTTTAAATACATTTCTATTTCGCTTTTAGATCGGTCAAATCTTTGTTCGAGTTCGAGTTCCGTTCACCTTTTCATTCGTGTTCGCGAAATATTCACGTCGTCCAAAACCAAGGTCAAAAATACGACGAACCATTCGTTCGGCACGATGCCTACTGCGCCATTGCAAATGCTCATTATTAACTATCATCGATCTTTTCCAGCGGTGATCCGGTTTCAGATGTTTTTCTTTTTTCTTTTTGTAACATTTTTGAAAACAGCACGATACAAAAAATGTTCCACTTAACAATTGGATTGGCACACGTGTTAATTCAACGAATCATTGAAAATCTTCCCTTCTCAAATAATTCTTCGGAATGGGCTATAAAAAGTAAATCGATTAACTTAAATATATTCTTGTTATATTGTTGTTATTTTATAATAATATAATATAATATTTAATAATAGAAATTTGTAAAGTTTCCTGATGAAAACAATATTGAACATTTCCTTGGTAAAAATACGAATCAAAGTGTACAAATACAATTGTATCATTTCTTAAGTGACAAGATTTAAAAGAAGAGACTGCATATGGACACGTGCATCGTCGCTATAATATTATCACCGCGATAATAAACAGCGTGAGCATCTGGAAGAACTGGCAAATATTGCGGGGATACTTTTCAGATAGAAAGAGAACATTGAATACGCCGTGTGTTGGCTGACGTCGCGAGAACGAGAAACGTATTCGTTTCGCTGCATTAAAACAATATATTTCTACTCCTTTCTCTCGAAAGAATCTCATATTCATCCAATCACACGGTATTCTCGAAAAAACGAAATCTTTCTGACTCATCGTTACCGATCGTATCGAATGTTCTCATTTAACAGCAAAAAAGAAAAAAAAAAAGAAAAAGAAGAGAAGAAAGTACATCGAATCTGCAATCTATCTCTATCTCGAAAGCAATCGCGAATAAATGCGTGCGAAAGGATCTCTTTTTTCTTGATAGGAAATTTTTTTTGCTCTCCATTCATCGTAAAGCCTAGTATCCCAACAGGGATAAAATGTTTATACGATTCTTCGGTATGTTTGGCACGTGGCCAGAGGATACTGCGCGTGCATGGACGAGAATAGATTTGCGGGCCAAAATCCCCCATGACTTCTTAGTCGTCGTATTCGTATTGACTCTTGCATGAACATATGCGAGATAAAAGCTACGCTACATCGTGCAAGATCGATGCACGCGATCCGTGCACGTGTATGCCCTCTCTTTCTCTATTGCCTTCACGCGATTTCATTTTTTTCTCTATACATCTATTCATTCTCTATGGATGCACATTATATCAGTAAAGAAGATTTTCATAACGTTTGGAGCCAGTCTTCAATCATTCTTAATCCATAATCTTTTCAATTTCATAATCAATTTCAATAATAGATCCGGAATATCAATATATTGTCCTTTTTAAATTTAATGAGTTAGTATTTCCAAAACGATGCGCAATTTTACATCCAGAGTTAAGATTCTGAGTTTACGCCAACTGTGATCTGCCAACACATGACAGAAAGAAACATCGTGTTCCACGAATAATCCGCGCAACAAACTTTTATGAACGCTGGGAAAAGCCGTGTGCGAAAGGAATCACATGGATATGCGTTGGTGGTTTGGAATTGTTCGTTGATTCGCAATAAAATAAAGAAAAAAAAAAAAGAAAAAGAAAATAAATAAAATCGCTCGAAGTTTTATATTACAGGCTATTTTTTTTCTTCTACTTTTACGGTGCATTTCAGCATCACGCGATTATAATGAGCGGAAAATCTTTGTCAAACGTCTCCTTTTGACCGCGAACGTTGGCCCTATAAAATCTTTGGCTCTGACGTAGATTTCTTTGTGCACTCGCAGGTTATTGCGTCTCCGTTTTTCGAGTATTTTCATATTTACCGAGAATTCGGATGTTTTACGTAGTTTGAACGAACGGAAACGTCGCCAGTAACTATAGACGAACATCAATTCAATTTCGCTTTTATTCGCATATATATTTTTCGTTGAACGAATGAAATGTTTTCAATATACTTATTAGCAATGCTTAGAATAATAACATATTTCGAGAGAAAATAATTGCACAGGAAACAATTTTCGCTAATTATTATCCTGAAATAATACAAGTAAAAATTATTACTGAACACTTGTTCGACAATTTGTATTAATCTTTTTATATTCATTATTATATACTAACAATGAATTGCAAAATCCGTAAAACTACATTACATCGATATTTTGATGCAGTGTTATCTATGGATGGAATTCTATCTTTATAATGTATTTATATTCTTGTGTAGATCATATTCGTTAATATATCAGTTGCAATTCATGCATTTCATTGAAGCAAGATCAATAAAAAATGATTAGATAAAAAAAGAAAATCTATTCTGGAATGTTTAAGTTTAATAATAGATGTTAAATCACTATATTATTATTAAAGAGAATAATATCTATTCCGTAAAGCTATATGCTATAATTAAGTACCTAATTGCCCATTACCTTATGCTTAAACTCAAGACACTATTATCCCGTATTTATTATTTTAATCATTTTATAATTATTTACCTAAACCGCTGAAAATATTCTAAGCGTAAACACAGTTGGTATATATTGTACTCTGTTCTCTACAAATATACGTAAAATCTGTAAATACAAGTCTTAATTTTTGGTGTTCTCTGGTAAACTATGAAAGTATCACGGTAAAATTTACGAGTATTATCTCGAGACCTATTAACATGAATATCGCTGCACCATTTAAAGAGAAATTTCGAAACACGCATATAATACATATAATTATAAATATATATTATAGATCCTTGAACGAAATTATAATCGTTCAAATTCGACCAATGATTCGATCAATATTTAGTTTAAATTGAAGTAAAATGAAGTAAATTTGAATGTAAGAAGTGAAAGAATGTATATAATATAAGATATATGATATATCTTGGCTTCTTCTCATAAAAATTTAAATCTATTAAGATTCCTTGTTTTTTTGAGATCGATCTAATACTTCTTGCGCTTGTTGTAATCCGGCACAATAATGCAATAATAAGACACTCAGTGCTTGCACACGTAAATCACTCTGTGCAATCAATTTAATACTGTCCATTTCTCCACTTTGTGATAATTCTAATCTTGAGGTAGTTTCGGCATCGAGTGCAGTTTTAAGTTTTCCCATCTATATTGAAAAAAACGATTAAATATAATATTAACTTATATTTCATTTTTATCTTTAAAATTTATCTCTATCTTTACCATAATATTAATCTTTTCAACACGTTCTTGAGGCTCCAAATGTTTGTACAGAAACTTCCCGGTATCTTTAGCCCTAGACATAAGACCATCATCCAAATCCCCTGCTACTAGAGGAGCTGCCACACTTGGCTCAGCACCCTCCAAGAGATCAGGACTTATGCCCAAGCCTCCAACCAATGAATTCTAAATGTTTCAATAATTTGATCAGATATATTGGAGCATAATATTCGATTTTTAGATCTTGTCCCTATGAAATAAATGCACCTACCTTCGATTGATATGATAATAAAGGTGTAAAGAAAGCATCGTTTTGCACTATTAGAAATTGTAATAATTATGCAGCATCAATACAACAATATTTTATATGATAAGCATGGTGGTTCAATGTGCATCTGCATATCTGTTACTTCAATATAATAGTTAGTGCCATAAGAAAAAAAATATAGCCGTTTGCAATAGAAGTAAAAGCTCGTATAAGAGTTTTCAAAACGTTGCACGAAAGATTGAACGCGAAGCGAATCAAATAATATAAGCTTTAAAATCACAATCAATATAATCATAAGCGTGTTTTCTGCCCCCTACAATTGCTGGTATATACAAAAGAATAGGACAAAGAACAGAAATAGAGCAGAGAAGGCCTGAAATTATATTTTGATTTAATCACAATTGATAAATATCAAAAGGTTATTTATAGCTAATATAATTATTAGCAAAACGATCGATATAATCCTTCTCTGTTCCAACTGGACAAATTTGTGTTATTAAATTCTACCTTGCGGGATGCACAGGGACTTGGGGGAAGACTTCTAGATGCCAAACCAGTACCGGAAGCCGGCGGGGCCAAGCAACTGGTACTTCCAGCCTTCTTCAGGCCCAATAGAGTATTAGCTATACTAGCCTTCATGGCCATCATAGTTGCACCCTGATTAATTGATCAATGGATTTCAAATTTATTAATAATTTTATTTATCTAATTATGAAAACCGATAAAAGAAAGAAAAACAAAACATACAAACAATCGTGCCCTCAATCTCGCTCTTGATTATTTAATGTGTAAAAGGTTAAATTATTTTATTAGACAATAATAAAACAAATAATCTATTCACTTACAAAACTCATAAATTACACATTAGAAGCAAGGTTAAGGTGCAAACCTACAAAAAACCTTCACCTCCCTATTATGCAGATGATCAATTTTATTGCCAACAATAAAGTGAATCACACTTAACAGTTGTTTCCCTATGTACAAAATACCAAGAATACTCTAGATATTTCAAGTATACATTAATTGCCCAAAAATTGCAATTCCTTGATTACAGCATTGCATACTGTACAATTAAATATCACTAATAAAGCGTAGATATGTATAGTAATTGTAATTTTATAATATTTCTTTTTTAAAATTTCATTCTAACCACAGTTGGATAACAAAATTTTATCTTTCAAAATTAATATACAATTTTTTTTAATAAAAATATAAATTATGTATGTATATATCACATATGTTAATAAACTTCAATCCAGAAATTTAACTTTAAATTCTAAGTTATCTTAATTATAATTATTATTTTTAAAAACTGACATTGTATAAATCACAATGAAAAAAACGAATAAAAATATTCGTTTTATGGAATTGTCAACAAGATATAATATTCATTGTGATTTTAAGATTTAGTATATGTTTGAAAATTTCATTAAGTTGACAATACCATTCTCATGTAATAAAAATTTTTATTACGTCTTGAGTACCTGTACAGTATCTTCACAACTGGTTAGTGAAATTTCTGGACCCGATTCTCCAATAAGAGTAGGCTCTATTTCATCCGCTTCTAATGCCATTGTTGTTATACTTTCGGCTCCACATATTCCCGATGCTTGACACCGAACTTCGCATTTTTTATGACACACCATACCACAATCTCTGCACTGTACCGCATCTTTTAACCAAATCTATATAAACATATAAATTTTGTTATTCAATATTTACAAACATTTAAAAAAAAAATAATTGTAAAAATATCGACCTTTTTTGTACAAAAATCGCAATGTGTTGCTCTATGAAAGTGAGTTCTAATAAAGTCATGCATTTTTTTCTCAATAATTTCTTCACTCAAAGGTGGTTGTGTTTTAATAGCTTCTGTATTTTCTTTTTTTCCCATATGAAATATGTGACGATTTGGATAACTGGATTCCCATGTATAAGATAATAAAATATCACCATAACAAAGTGTTGGATCAAATCCTGAATAACCTTGTAGTTTTGGATGAACTGTCGTCAAGGAAGCTTATAAAATATAGCACATAAAATTAATATAAAATAGATAACAATAATATTAAAAATTATATTTAATAAGAACAAATAATACATACCACTATCTGGTGGTAATAAAGCATGACATTTAAGATAATGACCAGTTGAAGATGTATAGCATTGTGCTAAAATTAATTTCATGGGAACATTAATATATCCTAATAATTTTGCATGAATTTCTCCTCCTCTTACACGACCCCACACTCCAATATTTAAATACTGAAGTTCTGAATCGATTTGGAAAGTTCTAGTTTCCTCAAAAGTAATTAAAGAAGCATATTCCTTTTCTTTAGTTGTATAATATAAATCTGATATATTTGTTACATAACTATCATTAAAACAAAATTGAGAATTACTCGATATTGATTGATTTGAAGTAGTCGAAATTTTTCTAGAAGGTGTAGTATCTGGTGTTTGAGCAGTATCATCAGTATGTGCACTGCTTTTTCTTCTTCTAAAAAATTTATTACCCATTTCCAATTTATCAGCAATTTCATTTTCATAATCTTTTAAATCCGAAAATTTAATTTGAGTTTCAAATTTGATTTTGCTATCTTCTGTACTGGGTGTATCTCCTTTATTTGATACGGAATCAATTTTTAATGTTTTCTTATCTCCTCCTCTTTCTGCAGATATTTTTTCACTATCCAATTTCATACTAGTTTGCTTGTCTAAATCTGTTTTAGAATACTTTCTTTCAACCCTTATGATAAAACGTCTTTGTACAGCACTTTTTACAAATTTAGCTACTTGATTCATGTTAGATACTTTTTTACCATCTACTGCTATTAAAATATCCCCTTTCTTCATCTCAGCAATTGCAGCAGGACTTCCAACTATTATAGTTTCAACTAATACACATATATGACCTATTTCTGGCACAAATTCTTGTTTAAATACTACACCAAGTTGCTGTGATCCAACTTTACTAATAATTAAATCCAACACCATATAAGGAACACCAGTATATTGAGTTAAATATACCCAAGGTGTTGAGTCTATGCATATTGTACAATATATTTCAACTTGTGATCTGTCCTCTGCATTAAGTATATTAGGTCCAAGATTTAATCTAGTTACTTCAATCAATGATACTTCCAAGTAACCTGGTATTAATTGCATATTAGCGACCTGAAAAATTTTTAAATATTTAGATATATTAAATAGTTAGATATATTATTTTTCAATTTTTATAATGATGGGATCAAGAAATATTTTACTTCAGATAAATCTACGGCTTCATCGTTTAATCTGCGGAAAAATGGTTTGTAACGCATTTTATAACGAGGTAGCGTGTGCTTCCTCCGTACTGCTCTCCGAATTTGTCCTGTGATCAAAGAAATAATTTGTGGTTGTAATTGACGACCTTGAAATTGAGATTGCACTTCCAATTCAAGTATAGGATCTGAATAGAAACTTAAAGACCAATGAGTATATGGAACACGTGTAAATTGTAATCTAGCTCTACCACTGATACGTTTCACTGAAAGAAAATATTATAAATTACATAAACATTGAGTGATAAAGACCAAAAAATATACTTATAATAATTTGTTTAAATTATTAATGTACCTTGTAAAGCCATATAAGCAGTCTTTCCCAATAACATTTTAACATCTATTGATAATTGAAAATTTCCAGAATAATGTAAATCTAAAGATAAATCTAATGTCTCCAATAATCCTGTATCAGCATCTATTTTTGAATCTGCAACTTCTAAACCTTTTATTGTGGGAAATTGTGAACCTAAATTTAAATCTCTTAACTGAAAATATTATAAATAAATATATATATTTATTTATAAGTAACATATGAATATCAAACAATAATTTGAACAATAATTTACCTGTACACTGTCCAATAATTTTCCAGTAGTAGATTGAGTTAATAATTCTTTGAATTCATTATTTAATTTTCTGTATAACCAAAGACGTACTCTCTCAGCATTTCTAAGTTCATTGAATAGAAATTGTAATGTTAAATTTATTGCCAAGTTTTCATTGCCTTGACACATACCCTGACGTGATATATTTATGGAATTTGTTTTTTCATCTTGAATTTTTTCAAATAATTCTTTAGGTAATTGAGCCTTGCCATGGTGAAGTGATTTTTTTGGTGAATTTGCTAAAGGTGCTTGTTCCAAAAATTTTTTGAACAGATAAAATTCCAATACAATTGTACATATTATACCACATATAAATGTAATCACAGATACACAAATAAATTCAAAAATGTCCATATTAATATATCATCTATTGGAAACTTAATTGTTTCCCTGAATTAACACCAATTTTTTCACTACTAAGATTGAAAAATATTCAAATAAATTGTATAAAAAATCTTCTTGAATTAAATATGAAACAACAATCATATAAACATATTAAATATATTTTAATATTATTAAATAATATTTTTAAGATAAATACATTACGACGTTCATACAAAATATTAGGAACTCTTATAATATGTATGATTTCGAATCGATCATTAAAAAAGTATTGTTTTTTTTAATGTTGAATTACATTGTTATGATCACTTTCGTTTCACGGGTCAACAGTTATTCAGAACACTTTCACCTATCATTATAAATTAAAATTAAGACATTTTCATAAAAATATAAATAAAATTTTATAAGAATTTAAAAAATATTCATTTTCACAAGAAAATGTTCGTATAATACATTTTAGAAAATCTAATAATGCCAATGAACATGGATAAAACGTATCATGACAGTTTTCTATTGATCCCGGCAGCCATGTTAGTGCCAAACAAACTTGTCAATTTGACAGATCTGTCAATTGTCTATCTAATACTATCTATTTAAAAAATGATGACCAAAAATATAAATGTTTATTTCTTTAAATTTTTACATTGTAATAAATATCAATAATGCAATATTTTATTTATATATAATCATATATAATCATATAATCAATTCAAGAAAACAAAAAGAATTTAAAAAAACAATATATTATATTATCTAAAATAATATTAATATAATATAATAGAAATAATTCATATACTTTAAATAATTATATAATTTTATTTTAAAATAAAAATTGTAATATAATTTTATATTATGCAAAATATAATTTTATTATTCTTTATATATATTTTTTATATATCTTTTATATTAATAACATATTAATTTTTTTTTTGATAAAAATTGATATGAAATAAACTATTCAATTATATATATTTCGATATTAAAAATATAGTTGAATTGAATAACATAATCAGCTGATAGTGTAACCTCGTAATTTTGTCTTTAGAACAAAATATTTTTTGTCCATATTATATTATTTAAGTTATATATAAAATTTATGTAAATATGTATTTCTAATATCAAATAAGAAGTTATTAATATTTTTATTTCTTATAATATAAAATAATACAAAATATAAATGTAATCTTTATAGATGCATATATATTATAATATAGCTATAATTATATATTTTATATTTACAAATAAATATAGAATATTTTAAAAATGGCAGCATTAATGAAAAAAAGAGTTTTAGCAGAATTTAATCAGAGTCAGGTAATTAAATCTCTTGTTCAAAAAAAATTTAATAGAAAAATTTTATTTAAATGTATATTTTATAGGTTGTAAATGAACCACCATTAAAAAGATTAAGAACATTGCGGCTTATATCAAATTCAGGTAGTAAAAATGGAACAGAAGGAAGTTCAGCATTAGCTTATATTGAATGTCTTGAAAAATGTAAATGTGGCAATGATGCTTTACAACTTCTTGTTCGTATATCTGATACAATTGCATATATCTCTTCAGAAGATGTTCCTTCTGTAGTAAAAAAATTATCAGAAAGATTTACTATAGAAACAGAAGCTGCAGTTCGTGCTAAAATATTATGGATATTTGCAGAATTAGGAGAAGTAACAAATGATTCATTAGAGAAGACAAGAATTGTTACTGAAACAGCTGAACTTTTAAAAAATGAAGAATCCCATAGAGTAAAAAGTCAAGGTTTAGCAACATTATTAAAACTGGGAGATTATCATAGGTATTATATACTTTTATATATTTTATATATTGTAATATAATAAAAAATTATATATTATAAAGAAATTATCATTATTTCATATTTTATATTATTAAAATACATAGAATATAAGATAATCAATTCATTCAATTTTAGAAGTCTTGTATTGAAGATTGCTCGTGATCATTTACCTGATACTTGGCATGGTGTACAGACACGTTGTCTTTCTATCATTGGAAGATATTTAACAGCAAATACTACTGATGATACTTTAGCACTTGTCAGCAATTATGCACACTCTCAAGATCCAAGAGTACGTGCACAAGCATTTGAGACAATGGCTGAACTTCATTCTTATAGAAGTTGTAGATTACCAGCAACTTTTTTTGGAGAAGCTTGTACTGCACTTAGAGATGATTATGAAATAGTTCGTAGAACTGTTCTTAAACTAATATGGCTTTTAGGTAGAGAATATCCTGAAAAGTAAGCAATAATTGATAACTTTTTAATTATTATTTTTGTTGTTAATTATCATATTCATATCTTATTATTTTATAGTATTATTGTAGGATCAGATGGAGAAGATATACGTATGGTAGATTGTGCATTTTCCCAAATTTGTAGTCTTATGGGTGATTTATCACCAAGAGTTCGAGCTTCAGCAATGTCTCTTTTAGGGACAATGAAAGGTGTATCAAAACGATATATAGAACAAGCATTGGATAAAAAACAAAAAGTTGTAGAAGCAGATAGACCAGAAGTAGAAGAAAAAAGCGGATCATGTGGAGCATTTATTCATGGTTTGGAAGATGAATTCTTAGAGGTATTATTATTATTTATTTTTTATAATATAATTTATATTTTAAGTAATTGAAATAAATAAATTTATTCAGGTAAGAACAGCTGCAGTTGAAGCACTTTGCACTTTATCCTTAGAACAACCAAATATAGCTAGAATTTCATTGGATTTTATGGTTGATATGTTTAATGATGAAATTCAAGATGTTCGATTAAGAGCTATTGAATCATTAAGGAAAATATCTGCAAGCGTAACGCTTCGCGAGGATCAGTTAGAAACAATCTTAGGAGCATTGGAAGACTTTTCAGGTGAAGTACGAGAAGGTTTACATGCTACTCTGGCGGCTAGTCGGCTTGCTACAAGAAATTGCCTTCATATGTGTGTAAATCGTTTACTCGATAATTTAAGTCGCTATCCACAAGATAAAGAAAGTATTAGAAATTGTTTAGCAGCATTAGGAGCATCACATCCATATTTAACATTGCCTTTAGTACCTCAACTTCTTGGACGACATCCATTCTTTGATACACCAGAGCCAGACGTTGATGAACCTTCTTGTATCCTTTTAATAGTTTTCTTTATAAAATATAATTTGCATTATTTTTAATATTCTTAACTACAAATATAGATGCAAGTGTATTAGTTTTGATTTTCAATGCTGCATTACATTGTCCAAGCATGCATGCTCTTTTTACAGAGCATGCATCTAAACATTATCATTATTTGCGCGATACTATGCCACATTTAGTTCCTCGATTACGACCAACCATAACGAGCGGACCAGACTTTGGAAAAGAGGATAAAATTGATGAGGAAACTGAACGTGGAAAAGAATTCCTAGAAAAAGTAGTTACTGGTGTAGAAAATGCAAGACCTGGTGGTAGAGTTCATACGCAACTCTTAGAAGCTGCAGCTGTTGACTTAGATCGTTTAGCAGAAATGGATCATCGTATGGAAGGAGCCGCACGTTTTACTGTTTTATATATAAAATGTTTGCTACTTTTGAAATCAGTATTAAAAGAATTTTCAATATCATCAACAAATTCTGTATCGGCAAGTCCATTGCCAAACACAACTACTAATGTTTCAGTTCTTCTTCAAAATACTCAAAAGTATGTTTAAATATATTTATATTTATTATATCTATATATAAAAACTTATTTATCAGTAATTTATATAAATGTTATAGATTACAACGATTATTCAGTGGATTAGGTGAAAACGAAATCATATTAGCCAATGATGTATGGTTAAAAGCATTAGCTGTAGAATTAATTCGAGTAACAAGAAGTGTAACAGGAAGAAGTGCTCTTCCACTTGCACGTCATTTTTTATCTGAAACTGATACTCTACCTCAAGATACTACAAAATTGCCATCCTTTTCTAGAGCTCTTGTACATCAAATTCCAACTTTAGCTGATGTAAAACCGGGTTCTCTAACACGAATGCTTTTACCATTACTTTTAACACCAGCGGCACAAGGAGAAGAACGTCTTCCTAGACCATCAGTATCTACTCGATTTTGTAGAGCAATTATAGAAGAACCTAGAGGCGATGCAGATGCTGCATTGAAATTTACAGGAGGTCTTCTATTAGGAATTCCATTAACAGCAAAAATATTAAATTTGCGAGATCCTAATATATTACGCATTAAATTGAGGCATCCTGATCAACAAGTACAATTATTATTACCGCGTCAATCAGATTTACGATTACAAAATATAGAACAAAATGACTTTAGATTGAAAACTACAGTTCTATTATCTCATCAAGTTTGGATGGAAGCTTGTAATGTAGAAATATCTCTTGCACTTCTTGTACCATCTTCAGCTGTATGTACACATTCTCCCCTTGATGATCCATGTGTTATAGATCTTTGTAAACCAACTAAAGTTTCAATTGCACCAAAACCTATAAAACGAGGTATCTAAGTATATTTTATAAATCTCAATAATATTTGTTACCTTGAAATATTTTGTGAATTTCCGAACTTTAAGATAATATAAAAACACAAAAATATTTTAAAAAATTTTACTTATGTTAAATAAATCAATGATTTATAGATTTGACTAGATTTTTATTTTTATAAATCTTTTATGCACAATGATTCAAAGATGAGGTACTTTTTTTTAAGATGAGACTTTAATTCTTTTTGCTTTTTATTTTCATATTATTATCATTATTATCTCTTTTAAAAATCCTTGCAATGAAATATATAATTTCTGTTAATTGAAAGATACATTAGAAAATGTAAGAACTTCAAAAATTATGATAATTTATTAATAAAAGAAAAATAATTTGCAGAAGAAAAAGAAAAGAAAATATAAAAATTTTAATCTTTTTAATTAATTAAAGATTTTTATGAAAATTAATGAAATTTTTTACTTATCTTAAAAAATATTATTAATTGTAAATTTATATAATAATAATTATATAATAATAATATTATTAATTGTAAATATATTTTTATTGTAAGTTTGAAATATTCTAAATCATTTTTTATAATACAAATTTCAACAATATTTTAAAATTAATAATGTTCAATCTATTTATAAAAAATAATCATAAATACATAATTTAAAAAGATTGAGAGGAGGACACAAAAATTTTATTCTTTTTTATAAAAATAACGTGTCTTAAAATATGATATATCTTGAATGTTTATTAACTACCGCCAAGTGGAAAAAGAGCTTCCACTGCAACAAAAAATATATTAAACATTTTTAATTATATTATTTTAAAAATTTAATAAAAAATTCAACTTAAACTTACCTAGTGAATACTGGAGATTTTGGTGTATCTGCACTTTTTTGTGCTAAACTACTGAAACTCAATCCACCAGATTGATTTGCCAAAGATTCAAATGTACTACTACCATTTACATTTCCAAAAACTTTTGGCATATTGTTATCAATTGGAGCAGGGCTTCCTCCCAAGGTAGGTGGACTTCCAAATGCTATTTAATAATATTTTTTTATAATTTTATTTTTATATTTTTATAATTAAATTTTGTTACATATATTTACTACATTTGTTATATAT